AGTTCATTTTTTTCATATCGGATAATTTCTCTTTCATTGTTTGTTTCCTTTTGTTTCTTACGCCATAACCTCGCCGCTCTGTAGCCTTGACCTGCCCTACAGAGAGCGATCGTTTCACCGGACAGTGTTGTGCCATATGTCCGGGTTGTGAGTGGGACAGGCAAATTGGTCGACCATCAGCCGTCCACCGGAGCGATGGACCGGCAGGTCGCGGCTGTCCAATCTGACTATGTTCTGTCCCGTTTTTGTCCTGATTCTCAGCTGTTGACCTGCTTTCTAACCTCTCCAATCTTTGGTTCACCTTATCCAGGTGGGCCAACAGTTGAGCCATCATGGTTTCCACCGTGTCGGCCCCTGTGGGTGGGGATTGTCTCTGTTCAGGCACAGAGACTTTGTCCACCGAACAGTTCGATTGGTCCTCATCCTCGGACCTGCGGATCGCTGAGTTCCTGACCTGAAGGAAGGTCAACTGCGGGTCTTTGTGGACCTCCTCTTTCAACTCTCTTCTTAGGATCGGGGTTGCCAGCCCCTCGATGAAATGATCCCTCAGTAGGCGCACATCAATGTCGGGTATCTTGCCCTTTACCGCGACAAAGGCCCTGTTCATTCTGTGTGAATACTCCATCACACTCTCCGCCATTCTCTGCTTCAAGCCTACTAACACCGTTAGCAGTTGCGAACCCGACCGTCTCTCCCCGAAGGTCTCCATAATCAGATCCAGCACCTTATCTGGATCTGATTGGATGGTTTTATCGTGGCATTCTACCTCTGCCCTGACCGTCTCTCCTATACTTCCCATCAGCAGTCTTAATCTTTCCTCTGGTGACATGTATCTTGAGGCCCAGGCAGCCCTGACCTCTTCACTGAACCTGTTGGTTAGGGTTGGATCACCGTCCCCGTGAAATTTGTTGATGTGGGACTCACTGGGCAGGACCACAATATGGATCGGCTTTTTGTCCACATTTTGTCCTGGTCCATCTGTAGGCAAAGGGTCATCTTTACCGTTGCCTATCTTATCTGACTCAGATTGTTGGGCCAGCAGGAGTTTTTGTTCCTTTCCGATATCTAACATATCACTCCCGCGTCTGCCACTCACACCAAGGAAAAATGTTGCAGCTATGCAGCAGATAGTGTTGCCCAAAAGGGAGCTCATGACCCATTTCCAGTGTCCAAGAGTTACATCCATATCTTGGTTGCCATCTTTGCCCAGTATTTGTCCAACAACCCAGTTGGAGATACCAATGACAATTATCTGGATGCTGGTGGTCAGCCCCATAGCTGTCCCCAGGGTAGTTGGTGCTACAACTAGGGGTATACTGAGCCACATGCTTGCAGCAGCAAAAGAGCATGTGACACCAAGCCAGAATGGTAATGAAAGGTGTCTCATCTCTGTTCTTTTCAATTTCCTCGATTCTGATTTCAGTTTTCCCTTTTATTTATTTCCTTCAAATAAAAAAAGACGTTTCTTACCGTGTGTGTATGAAAAAATTTTCCTCGTTCCTCAATTTTCACTTTTCCTGAATGTCCGAATTCACACACACACTAAACACAGTTATGCACAAGGTTGACTATGGGTGCCTCAAACGGCAAGTCTAGTTGAATTCATCCTGCTCGCAGCGCCAAATGTGACCTAGGCTAGTTGCATCTTTCCTGTTCGCAACGCCAAATGTGACCTTCCCCGAGTCTATCCTGCCCGACAACGCCAATTGTAACGAGTTGAACCACTCATGCTACACAACATCGACTACAGTAGAAAGACTCGAAGATGCAGGTTCGCTATTGATCCTTTTATTACATGAATCAAGAAATGCTTCAATATAACACAATGAATCAACAGAAATGTTTCACAATAATAGTCTGAATCAACTGACCCCCTAACAGTCCTCACTAGGCTTCATATAACTGAATCCACATGTCTATTGTCCTTCTTAACACAATATAACCAACTTGATATGTCACACAGACTGACTGATCTAAAGCAAGCGATGAAGCTGGAAGAGAACGAGTTCCGCCGTCCCCTCCTATTTATCCCTTGTATCCGTACTCGTCTCCGTACTTGTATTCCTCCGTAATCGATACTTGTACTCGATGTCTCCGACCACTAGTTACGCAGTTCTAGCGTACAGTCCGTGAAATAACATCTGCATCCTATCAATCAAAGTTGACAGGCCTTCTGACTCTCTTCGTACCGTTTCCCAAAATAGCACGCGTTGGCTTTGAGATTGTTATCAGTCCGCTCCAATAAGCCACCTGCTATGTTGCGTCAGACTGTAATACTGCGTCTCGGCTTATCGTTCGTTATCAGATTTGTAACTAGTGGCTAGGCCTACCCTAGTCACATATATATATATATAACATGTAACTATTAAGCAGCCATAAAAATAAATGTATATTCATTTTACAAAAGGTGTTGCAATTTAATCAGTGATCACAATTAATCATACTTACATGATTCACCTCTTATCAAACTTAAAACCCCCTCCTCTTATCTTATTTACACCCCCCCCCCATCTCTCAATATAGTGTATGCTCAGAGATTAGTAGACTTGTACGAAATTACAAAGGTGTATTTGAACTAGATTGTTTCATGTACTGTTGTCCTGTTGTTTACAACTTCAGACACAAACACAACTCGTAGTTTATAAACAATCAGTGCACCTCATCACTGACGGTGCCGCTAAATACCGAAACTGTGGGTGAGAACACCGCGATGAAAAAACAATGCTTTCACCTCCAGACAGCGATGTGGTAGTGCACACGGGAGATGAGCACACACACACACACGCACGCACGCACACGTACACGAACACGCCCGGGCCGGTGACTCACCGTACGCTGATCAGACTCCAGCACAGTTGTCATTCATGCTTGTAGATGTTTTCGTCGCCCGCTACACGATGACGACACGCCGGCCACATGGCCGCCATCTAAACATATCGCTGACGCTACACGGCCCGGTACTCGCTGTATCGATTAGTGGAGTGCTAGGGGAGAAAACCTAGCTAGACGGTGGAGACTAAGGCAGGGGACAGAACTTAGCTTGACTGAGATGGTGCGCGGCATCCAAGGGATTAGTTTAAGTCTACACTGACCTGGTCACTGGTGGATTTATTAAAAGTTGATGGTAATTAGGCTTAAGTGTGTCCATTTGAGGAATTAGGTCAAAGGTCAACTTGAATAAATAATTTTGGTAACTCAATATGTTTGAGAAAACCAGCGACTAATAGATGAGATTTTCTATTATTATGTATGACATGATGTAAATGAACGATATGCAGCTATAAGGTTTTTTTTTCCGATATTCAAAAGGGAAGCAACGGACTGGCATAACTCCTTCAACCACCGCAACATCAATATCCAGAACTTATTTAAAGTTCTAAATCTTGTCTCTTTCCCCTCATTTTTCACACTGCAACCTTTTGAAAACTCAATGCGACCACTACAACACCCTTTCAACTAGTCAACTTAAGTTGTTTCCCTACATAGAAAATGCTTCACCATTGACCCTCTCTGAAAAATTTCCTTTCCTCTCCCCACCTAGACTTCTGACACTTTCATTTGACCTTCACCCCTTTTACTGTCATCCTTTGCAATTTTTTTTTTATATATCAAATACATGACATCATGTAAATATTCATTATGTACATTTGCAAAACCTTTTGTTTTCATTTGGTGTTCAAAATTATGTTAAAAAATTCGATGTTGATGTACTTGTTTTAATTGCAAATAAAAGTATTTAAAAAAAAAAAAAAAAAAAAAGATATTGAAAAATGATAAAAATCATGACATAATTGAGGCAGGCAGTTGAATTTTGTGACATCACTTAGGGGGGGGGGGGGGGGGGGGGTAGTTTGCTTTTTTGTGGCGATAGAGAGGATAAGGTAAAACAAGGCCAAAATTGCATAATGTACAGCCTGCCAATGTGCATAAAAAATTGAAGATGATTATCAAATCGCTGTTTAAAAAATCGGTTGAAAGCATATATTTTAGTCAACGCTAGTTGGTAAGCCAACAATGTACCATAACACATATATCGTGCAGCCCCAGAGGCGTAGGGGGGGTATATATGTCCCCGGGCGCCGGGAAGGGTCGCTACGCCTCTGAGCGACCCCCTGTGTCTTGGGCACAAAAGGGAAAAGACGACGATATCGTGAGGTAGCTTTCCCATCAATTATTGTAAACCGATGCTCTTTCAATAAAAAAAGGTAGAGTCTATATGCTATACACATTAATGAATGAAGTGAGCAATGTTCAAATTAACATACGATTGTAACAGTCACCCATCACCATTGCCACAGGTCGGTACCAGCCAGGAGCTAAAACAGAACCCACAAACTTTGTTGTTATGCCCTGTTTTGTTATCAAAAGCATTGATGGAACAAGACATGTACACTACACCAGGTGTAAGGAAGAGACCCGCCCAAGTGCTGGCGGCAGTCTTTAGTCCTGTCTAGAGAGACGCGAGAAAACATACAACCTGTGGTAGTGACAGAAATACACGACATATCCACGACAATCAATCAATGCTAAGATGTTCTCAGCTATCAGAAAACACGTCTTCGCCATGTCTTAGTGTCAAAAGTGAATTATTGCAGGGAAGTTGTGTGTGAAATGGGGGGGGGGGGGGGGTACACAAAACATCCATTGGATCAAATTAGGACTCTCTCAAGCGAAAACCCTCATCACAGTCGGACCAATCATGAAAGGGGAAAGACAGAAAGCTAAATAAGATTTCCCTAAAGTGTTTCCGGAATCAATGAAGGGTATTGACCTTCACCAAAGTAGGCTTTAAAATTAGAGACAGTACCGAAAATGGATTTTGTCCAAGACTGACTTGGAGGCGGAGTCTTCTTGAAGAACTGAAGACAGCAGAGATGTCTTGAGAGGTTGCAAAAGTAACAGCCGGGGACCGGACAAAAGGGAAGGTTATAGTTGAAGCCCTATGTTCCACAGGGAGCTAAAAGGATTAAGTCAAGTTTTTTTTTAAAAAATGGACTTACCGATATTCAAAAGGGAAGCAACGGACTGGCATAACTCCTTCAAGCTTGTGGCTTTCTTCAAGTCCTCCACGCTCGGGTCGTTGATGGGTAAAATAGCACGCTCCGAACCTCTTCGGCACATCTCGCTCCTGTCCGACCCCCGGCGGAGAATGCCGATCTTGGCCAGGTTTCTGTCTTTCTTGAGCGGGCCGATCCCGTCCATCCCCGTCCTATCGGGGTGGGCAGAGTCCTGGAAGCTTTTGCCACTTGCGCCAGTGATCTCGAAATGTTGGATGTTGTCCGTTGAGTTGAAAATACTTAGCTGGGCGCCGCCCAGGTGTTCGGCGGACCTATGGAGGCGGGGTTTGGCGGGGGCGTGGATTGGAGATTCACAAGAGGAATCTTCTTCCGTGTTGGAAGAGAGGCCGTCCTTTTTCTGGGGACCTTTTCTTATCAAGGCGGGCGACTTTGGGGCGACTTCGTTGTTCGTGGTTTTTAGCGTTAAGGGGGAAGAAGCTGTCGGTTCTTTCTTCAACACGGGGATCTTCTTTTTATTCACTGACCCAGGTGGGGTTTGGGGTTCAGAGGTAGATGACTGCCCAGTGAGATTGTTTGTAAGTTTGTTCGAGTCTGACATGACGCCCAAATCATTGTTAGCAAGCTTGGTTGTTGTGTCTGTGGTTATGGTCGCTTCACATGGCGCGGATGTAAAGGAGGAGTTAAGTTTAGACTTTAAGGATCCATCAGCATCAGGTTGAGATGCTAGCGCGACACACTGCGATGAGGGAAGGATCACCGGCTCAACGGGAAGCTCCGGCTCTGTAGGTTTGCACGGCATCTTCAGCGGTGGTGCCGCCCTTTTGACGGGCGGGTCGTGGCACATGGGGACTGGGATGTTGGACAACATGTGCAGCTTTGAAGGCGGGTGCTGCTTTTTAGATGAAGGCAAAGAAGTCTGTTTGGTTTTCTGTCGGGCGCCGCTGGGGCTATGCAGCTGTTGCTGTCTTACCGGGCTGGGGCTAAGCGCCTTGGACTGGTGTTTGGTATCCACAGAAATTTTTGCATAGCGTCCAACATTTTCCGACTCGGTTTTGGGGCTCTCTGAGGTCTTGGGTGGTTTTTTATCAGTGAAGTACCCAGACTCCGAAGACGTGTGCTCACTTTTTCTGGTCCTGTTGGGTCTGTGGATGCCAGACTTCTTCTCCTTGGGTCTCCACCTGCCCCGGTCTAAACTTCCCCCTGTAGCCGGGGTCCTCTCCAGACTGTTGTCAGTACTGTTTGAACGGCTAGTCTCAGAATTCACTTTGCTCTTTTTCAAGCTGGGTGACTTGGGGTAGTAATCCGAGGACAGAACCTCCTGTGATCTAACCGTCTTAACGCTGCTTTTAAAGTCTGTAGTTTTCACCGTTTGTTCAGGGAAAACGATCGCCTCAGCGAGCTTTTTTCTCTGCTTGTTGCCTTCAACGCTGGGCAATCTAGAAGGAGCTGAAGGCCTGGGTAAATACGAAGACGGAGGGGAAACATCCGAGCCAACGAAACTATCGAATTTCACCGAGGAAGTGTCACTCAGCGACTGACCAGGGTCGGTGTCATTCCTCTTCCGCCTTGGACCAACGACAATGTCATCGTGCTTGATCCCCGCCTTCTGTTGTAAGATTTCTGACGTGTTCAAGAACCCAACAGAGTCCGGAGTCTGCTGTGTGACGGTGCACGAAGACTTGGAAAAAGCAGATGAAACAGCAGCGGCGGCTCTTTCGGCAATGCCGTTAAGGTCGCTAGAGTTATCCTGCTTGGAACTTAAAGACACTGGTAAGGAGTTCTGTTTCTGAACGGGGGCGTGGTCCCTGTTACCCGCGGGGACAGGCGAGTCAGCTGATGAGGCGTGGCAGAGTTGTTCGGTGGAGGCTCTTGGAGATTTGAGAACGGACAGATCCGGTCGCCTCAGCCCCGACGCCCGGGGCAGGAGAGAAGGCGAGCCTTTGGAAATGGCTGAACTCAGTGACGAAGTACTCCTAGTCGAAACGCCTCCGAAACTCTGGAACCCAAAGTTGGAAATGATCGAACTGCTGTTCGTCAGGGAACCGGCGGAAAGTTTGCGTGACATCGGCGCGAGGTCGAGGTCAGTTTCTGAATCCGACACCATCCGCTCTGACGGTTTGTAGAAAAACGTAGGACCGTCCTTGACCTCTAGGATAACCAGCGGGGCTGCTTTGTCCCGCGGCTGGGAGGGCGACGCTGGAGAGAGGGTGGTCGGTCTCTGTCGTATCACCTTTGGTGTAGGCTGTAGCACTGGCTGGTTTTCTACGGGTAAGGGCCTCTCAGAAATATGTAGAGAATCCTGCCATGTTGGATCCTCAGCAGGTGAATAATTAAACCCCTCGTCTTGAGTGCTGCCCGCAAACTTCTGAACAGTCCTGGGCGCTCTCCTCCCTGGCGATTTCTCTTTCGGCCTCCACTTTTCCTTGGTGACCCCGACCTGGTCCTTGCCTTTCCCCACCTTTGTAGTCAACTTCGCGGGCTGGTAACCAAAATGTGAGGCGGTGAAATGGTCTGCCTGTGGGTGTGGCACCTCCCCCCTACCCGCCTCCCTCAGCTGATTCAGATCCCTGTAGCTCAAAACAGAATCGTCCCGGCTATTTCTGGAACCAGGTCTCATGACCTGCCCAGCGTCCCGCCCAACGCCCGTCTCCAGCTCGTTGTCGTACGACTTTGAGGGCTTCATGTGGTTCGGCCTGTCTGCCTGCACCTGCCTAGGTTTGGCCTCTCTCTCTTTCATCCTGCCGCCATAAATATACTTGACCTTTTCAGCCTGGCTGTAGCAAGCCTCCGCGGCAGCCCATTTCTCAGGTGTGTGGATCGCGACATTGGCTTCCATTTTCTTGCTGCTATCGATGACGTAAGATTTGTCTCCCTTCTTCCACCCAGGATTGCCTTCCCCTGCCTTCAGCGAGGAAGGCTTGCAGGCGTTACAGGGGAGACTACTGAAGTCTCGTTCTCACATTCCTGACGCGAGACTTGGAGTAGGAAACTGAAACAAAGTAAAGGATAAAACGATTAATCCTAAAGGAAGAACGGCAGAGCATTTCGTTTAGCTGAGTATTTTTAAGTAGAATAATCTTAAAGTAATTAACAAAAGCTGACACTAGCCCCTCCCCCCCCCCCCCACCCCCCATATAAATTGAAAATATTTTTGCTTTAAATCTTTATTTTTCCCTACTTTAGTATTTTATGACATCATACACAATGTCGAATTGCATAGCTTTCACAATTTACTTGTTCTGTAAGTTCGTAATTATCTAAATCTGAAATTCAGCCACATACGACAACATCTGGACGGACGACAAACGGACAACATTGGACTAAGATGCGGATATCTACATGTCTTCATTAGTGTAGTTCGCGGACTGTCATATAGCATGGGGGGATGGGGTAATAACCTCACCATGGGGAGGGGGGAAATAGCATCTTGAGCCGGAAATGACCGTGTCTTACAAATACCTGGACGATATAATGGACGTGAAAGCCTTTTTAGAAGAAAAAAAATGAAACCTTTTGTAAAACCCGCTAGAGCCCCCAGTAAGCAAGGGCCGCCGTATTTTTGTGTTGGGTTATGTTGAGATGTGTCCAGCATGACCGTCTTTACCGCTCATGTTTGCTGACCACAAACTAACCCGTCGGCTTATAGCGCTAATCCTAACTAAATAAGCAAAGTGGTTGTTTTTTGGCTGTTTGAAGATTATCAGCTACCTGCTGACAAGGTGATTGTGTGGACGGGGAGGAAAAAGGTGGGAAGGGGGGATTAAAATGACGAACATAACTACATTAGATACATAGTGTGTAAAGTTACTCTTTCAAACCGTACAGCCCCTGAGGCATTTGGTAATAGATAGTATGGTCAGCACTATGCCCCGACGCCTTTACTTTCCCTAGCGTAAGTCAGGTACCTATTAGAGCTGGGTGGACTCAGGGACGTCCTACAGACTCGAGCCCGAGATCCGAACTAGAGACATTCGGGTTAGCAGCCGAGCGCTATCCCGCCCCCTGTTAATATACTGAAATTGTAATGACTAATTCAACATCGCACATCATTCAGATCACTTAATGAACGTGGGTGATCAAGTTACAATAGGTTTTTACAATCAATGCGGGGTCATAAGTCGAGATCAGTAAAATTGATATGAGTCAGATCAATGGTATACTTAGAAGGATCCGTCGAATCAATACATGATCTAAGAGTCGCATTAACAGTGTTGTCAAGAAGGTTTTATATTTGAATGCATCCTATCTTATAATTCCCAACTCTCATAAATAAACTTGAACAATCTAAGAAAAACAACGCACTACAATGTTAATATGATTTTAATTTTAGATTTGAATGCAGCCTGTACTACAATTCCTAATTCTCATAAATAAGCTTGAACAATCTAAGAAAAACAACGCACTACAATGTCAATATGATTTTAATTTTAGATTTGAATGCAGCCTGTACTACTATTCCCAATTCTCATAAATAAGCTTGAACAATCTAAGAAAAACAACGCACTACAATGTCGAGATCGTAACCGATAAGTCTATAATCATATGCATGAATTGTGTTCTTAAAAAAATCTGAAGAAACTAAACAAAAGACGCTTCAGATATTGCCAGAACCTGCTACATAAATTTTAAAGTTTAAGATAGCAAGATGACAAGAAAGAAATTCACCAAGAAACGAGTTTATCTTACCCGGTTAAACACGCATATCAACCCATTTTAACCCATGTTCACAGGGTCCTCGTTTTTATTCTAACTATAAAACATCCAATCCACCTTACCATATTTAGTAGCTCCAGAAGAATCATACAGAATTCGCATTAGGCCTAGTGCATAACAACACAAACATCATGGAGAACAAATGTGTTCTTTTAAACTAACACCACCATGACATGTAGAATAAACGACCGTACATGATCATTGACCCGTTGCTTCAAACACACACACACACACACACAGAAACACACACACACACGCACACCTTGACGAATGATCTTTGACAGGAGGTCGTGTCAGGTGCGTGCTTGTACAAACCTCCCCTATTATGTAATTAGGTGTCTTCAATGAATTACATTGGTAATTAGGCGTCTTCAATGAATTACATTGGTAATTAGGTGTCTTCAGTGAATTACATTAGTAATTAGGTGTCTTCAGTGAATTACATTAGTAATTAGGTGTCTTCAGTGAATTACATTAGTAATTAGGTGTCTTCAGTGAATTACATTAGTAGTTAGGTGTCTTCAGTGAATTACATTAGTAATTAGGTGTCTTCAGTGAATTACATGTGTAAATGGGTTTTTTGGGAAGTTGTCAAATCTTGAACGCGTTTTAACCAACAATCAGATTTGTTATTAGGTACTTAAAGTTAGGTACCTAATAACAAATGAGTGGAACGTACATTTTCTAACGATTCGTTTTAATACCGATAGAAAATAATTACAACTGATCAAGTGATCAGGCTTTTTAAAAAATTAAATTACACTAGAAATTATTACGCTCATATTGCGATACAATCCTGATTTTTTTAATAATTAAAATGGGAAATTAATTCGTCCCAATTGGGATACAATTCCGTTTTTTTTTTAAATTAAATAAAGCGAGAAATTAATTCGTTCCTATTGGGATACAATTCCGTTTTTTTAATTAAATGAAACGAGAAATTAATTCGTTCCTATTTGGACACGGGGCTGCTGTTTTTTAGCCTACTTAATTAAGAAAATTAGGCGACTATATTTTTTGTCAACAATTACTGAATTAGGTCACAACCGCCGTATCTGCCCACTCCTGTCCCTCCCCTTCTCACCAAAAAACACCTGGGTAATTGATCAAGATTGCATGCCATCGGTCTATACTATAGAGTCTATAGTAAGAATAAACGCGTGTTATATATTATGATAAGATGGACAGTTTTCCTAAACATACAGAGAAGGTTTGTAGTAGTGCTTCTAAGGATGTTATTCGCGAATACGTTAGTGGCCGCACCGTGACTATGGTGGTATGTTGATAGTATCTACACCTCGCATACACATACATCCTTCCATACATACACGCACAGATGTATGCATTCTCACATACCCTCACCTACTGACATACGACCACACAAATAGTCTATATAATACAAACATACTTCCATATCACCAAACACACACACACGTGTACATATTAAACACAGCGTCACTCAACAATAAATATCTACACATCTTCATGTAGGCCTATACGAACCACAAGACTGCATTTATATCATATAGCAGCAACACACGTACATTGTAAGAAATCTTTAGTCGCTACATGAATGGCCATAATATAATCGGCTTAAACAAAGTACTCGAATGTTTTTAACGTCTTTGTTCAGTCAGAGAAAATTTTAAAATTTAGACTATACACTCGGAAGTAAACCAAACAGAATATTGTTTTGATCTTGAAATAAGGTGTTAATTAAAAACTTTATGCGAGATAGGTCATGGACTTACCGAGGTAATTGTCATGCAATTTAAAATCCAGAATGTTCAAAACTAATCCAAAATCTGGTCTTAATTCAATCGTGTCCGTAATTCTAATGAAAAGGCGATCCCATTTCAACAAAACGGCCAAGTTTATAGCTTGAGATCGAACAGAAAACCAATACAACTCAACAAGCATAGAATAACCTCAGCGATGTGGATCTATGGTCCTAGTGATTCGTGAACACCATCGTAACTTAACTCCAGTGTCCTCATGTTTTAGTTAACCCTTTAGTGGCCTATAGTGAACAAATGAGTTAACCCTATAGTGAACAAGTTAGTAAACTCTATGGTTAATAAATGAGTTAACCCTATATTGACCAAATTGGTTAACCCTATGATGAACAAATAAGTTAACCCTGTAGTGAACAAGTTAGTAAACCCCATAGTGAATAAATAAGTTAACCCTCCAGTGAACAGGCTTGCAGAAGCGCGGATTAAAGAGAACTAAAACCGTAGAGAATGATCAAATTACCGTGTCACAAGGAGCCTTGTTCTAACCATACAGCGTGTCATTGCCGCCATTGTTTAAATATGTCACGTGACCTACAACCACCACCAGCAAGAATGTGTGTTAGAGATTATATTTATCTGTACGCACGCGTCACGCTTGAGTTAACCGACCGTCTGTTATAACGAGACAAGTCTTTTATACACAGACATTTTTCAACCGAAATTACTTATGTCTGTTTATAAACAGTCTGCCGAGTTTTAACTTCAACACTCAGGAAAGTTAAGTGTTAAACCTCATCATTCGTCTCGCGAATACACCCCCTTTTTCATCAACGTATAATTGGTGTGTACACATATTTATATAGGCAATGTACAGCTATATTTATATACATTTATATTCGGCAATGTACAGCTATATTTATATACGGCGATGTACATCTATATTTATATAGGCAATTTACATCTATATTTATGTACATTTATATTCGGCAATATACACCTATATTTATATACATGAATGTACAGCTATATTTATATACAGCATTTACAGCTATATTTATATACAGAAATGTACAGCTATAAGTTCTTATAACAGCGGTTCTAAATACAAGTAGATCATGTACAACACCTCGTAAACATCTTGTCCGTCTAATACACCTTTCTTACAAATGTTGCGTAACTTGTGTACGTACCTGTTCAGGTTTTTAATGTTATTCAGCCTACCACCACGACCAATCTCCCCCTCCCACAGGGGAGTTCACCCATTAGTACCCAGACAAAGACTCAATTCAGACAGAAATGCAACATCTGCTCAATAGGCGCATACCCACTCAATCCGGTTGCGTTAGCGCTGTCACGTGCATTATTGCGCGCGTGCCTTGCCATATATCAGAGGTATTTGGTTGGGGCAGGGAGGGTCGGGGGTGTGGAGCAGACGAGCACATTTCCTGACGTGCATGACATGTGGGTGAGGAATTTATGAGCCGGGTTCCACCTGACCTTGACCAAGTGCATGGCGGCGACTCTGATATCCGATAACCAT